CCCCCCCCCCCCGATTTTCTGTCCTCGAGTTGGAGAGCTGGGCTTTACTTAGTGTTCTCTTGTGTTCTGCAGCAGCTGCCAAAGCCTTGAGTCGAGTGGCTCCTACCTAGTGCCTTCTGAGTCCATTTAAGTCCAAAAGGAATCAGGTATGACTTGAAAATTGCACCCAGTTTTGAGAGAAGATATCCTCTTTACATGTTCTGTTGCTCCTGGAGCCCCCAAATCTGCCAGTTTCTGGAGTGGGGGTGGGGGGTGTTATGGCCTGTGGTTTCATGTGTTTGCAGAGGGAGAGGAAAGGAACAGGATCTGGCCTTTGTTGAGTCAGCTCACTTATGAAAGTTAGTAATAACGATGACAATGGCTGACCTTTACATGCACTTACTACATCCTAGGAACTCTTCTGAGCTAGGAGCTGTGAGACGGGCTATTGCTGCATTTATTGTTACATAGATGAAGAAGGTGAGGGGCAGGGAAGTTAAGTAACTTGTGTAAAATCTCCAAGCTAGGTAGTGGTGTGGCCAGGATCCAAACCTAGGTAGTCTGGTTCCAGGATCTGTGGTCTTAATCACTCTGCTCTGCTTTCTGAGAATTTGGAAGGGTCAAGTCTCCTCTGAATGCTTTTCAAAAAATTAATACCTTTCTGTGTGCAGTTTTAGGTTTATAGAAAAAGTGAGCAGAAAGCACAGACTTCCAACATACCCTGACTCCCAGCTCCCATTTCCTCTCTTAGTAACATCTTGCATTAATATGGTGTTTTGTACAATTGGTGGGCCAACATTGCTGCATTATTAACTCAAGTCCACAGTCTACGTTAGGGCTCAGTCTTGGTTTTGTGTATCCTATGGGTTTTGACAAATGTGTAATGATACAAATCCCCCATTACAGTCTCAGACAGAATAGTTTCACTGCCCTTGCTGAGCAGGATTTTGCCGCTCATATTTGCACTCCCTCAGTGAGCGTACACACAGTGAACAGAAGGTGAATTTTGTTGTTGCTGTTCTTGTGCAGAATATTAAGCGTCCTGATGGCAGGCACTCTTGTACTTGCAGGAACACAGGTAAACTGGGAAGTGCCCTGAAGATGGCAGAGGCAGAGCTCTCCTTGGATCTCAGGCCCTTCCCACCTACTGCAGCTGGACTGCAGTCCCCCAGAGACCTTCGAAGGATCAAAGTCCAGTGGGCAAGGCCAGCCTGCCACCCAAAAGACTCATGTTCTTTTCCCTAGTCTCAGGATCTGGAAAGTGCTGGCTACTAGGGGGAAAGGATATTCTCTTCCAGGCCAAAGTGAAGAGCCCGCCGCTCTGGAATCTTGGACTCCCTTTTCTAACTCTCCGTGGCTCCTGGCGAAGTCTTCCTGGAGAAACCCAGTACTTTGTGACATTGTTTCTTTCTTTTGTCCCTCACAGTGTTTCAACTGCTGGTTACAAAGTTGCTGTCATGGGCTGCATTATAATTGTCAAAAGTTTAGAGGAAACAAATTGGCCAAAGATATTCTGTTGCTGACTTGAAAAAAAAAACAAACAAACCACATTTTTGTTAATGGTGCAAATCTTACTGAAGACTCCTTTGTGGGGATTACTAAACAAAGCCTGAATCACTCTTATCCCTGTGGGATTCAGTGCTTTTCAAAATATTCTTGGAGAGCGCATTCTTTTGACTTGCATGGAGTATGTATTCCATAATTCTTAATTCAGTATAAGTGCTGTAAGGACTTTAATATTGTGTAAATGTTAGGACTATGACCAGGTAATAGCCACTTTCCTAGATCACCACCTCTTTATTTATTAACAAATTCTAACGTTGCATCTGCAGATTTGAATATATTTCAAAAAAAGGCAAATACTATCTCCTAACAATGTACAGTGGTGACCAGTGTAACATGAGAGTTTTGTTGTTGTTCTGTTTTTTGGTTGTGTTTGTTTGTTTTATTTTTGTTTGTTTGTTTTTTGCTACAGTTGTTTTTAAAAACCTGAGTAGTATCAGGGCATACACTTATTTTTTTTTCAGAAGTTTGTGGTTTCCATGATGAAAAACTTCCACGCGTTTTTATCTGATTGGATAAAAGCATAAATGCAAAGAAGTTTAGGTACACTTCTGTGAATGTCTTTGTTGGGGAAAGCATGTAGAAATAAGAATGTGCTTTTCCTTCCTAAACGGACGTTTGTCAGATTCGACATGTAGCATATGATTCTTGAATAGTACACAAGGCTCTAAATCCACGATAGGACCTCCCCAGGTACTGGGCTCATCCAGTAGATTTTCACAAGGTGAAGGTGTCGAATAATTATTTCCTAATTGCTTTATTGCTCATTAGGCCGTTCTTGAAGAGAGGAAAGCCTATATGAGCAAGTATTTATATTTATTTATAAAGGAGCTTAAAATTCCTGAGGAATCCAGTTATTGATCACCGGCAGTGAGAAACGCTCAGTCAGTGGCTGCCGAAGCTGCTCCGGCCTCACAGACTCCACACGCCCATCGGCTCGGCGGCCTGGAGAAAGCCAAGTTCAGAGGGGCCCTGGCTCCTGTGGCGGAGGCAGAGCCAACGGCACCCGGGGAGGTGGCAAGAATCAGGACGGTGGGGGTTTCTAAGGGCCAAGGACTCTGGGAAATAAGAGAGAGAGGGTGAAAAACAACTCTTGTGATCAGGCTACATGTGAAATGAATTATTGTTTTATCTGGGACTGTTCAAATGTAAATATATTACTAAATTGAAAATAGCTGTGTGAGATTTAAATGTGTCTGAGTTTTATAAAGTATTTTAAATTATGATTTGAAATATTTTACAATTTTTAAAGTATGTATTTATTTATACTTATGTCATACCTATTGTATTTGACATGGCACTATAAAGTTTGATAATAAACATGTTTATATTTATATCTGTGTAGGACCTCTTTTTAAAAATTCTATTTTATTTAAGTAAAACTCACATGCCATAAGACCCACTCGTTTTAGGTATATTTACAGGACCCCGCAAGCACCGCACTGTGTAATCAGCACGTGTCTGTCACCCCCCAGGAGAAACCCAATGCCCATCAGCAGTCACCCCCCAGCCCCTGGTCATCGGGCACCTACTTTTTGTTTCCGTGGAGTTGCCCATCCTGGGTATTTCGTATAACTGGAATCACACAACGCGGCCTTTGCGTGGGCTTCCTTGGCTCGGGAAGCGCGTTCGGGGTTAATTCACTTTGAGGCGGGCCTGCTGGCTCCCCCGTTAGCTTTCCCATCCCCCAGGCTGAGCGCTGAGCGTGTGGGTGGTTCCTGCCTCCTGGCTACTGTGAAAATGCTGCTGTGAACTTCTTGGGCAGGTTTCCCAGTAGACTTACGTTGCAGTTTTCTGGGGTGCAGTGTAATTGCCGGGTCACATGGTAACCCCACGTTTCATTTTTTGAGGGGCAGCCAAAGTGTGTTCCAAAGGGCTGCGCCATTTGACGCCTCCACCAGCGACGCGCGAGGTTCCCGCTTCTCCACACTCCGCCCAACGCTCGTCACTGTCTCTTTTTCACTATCATCACATTGACGGATATGAAGTGGTATAGAGGCCCTTGCGTTGATATTGCAATTGTCTGAAAAAATACCAATAATCTAAACAAACCATTAAGATCAATGAAACAAAGTCCTTGACCTGGAGTCTCGGCAGCCTGCCCGTCTCAGTCCCAAGTCAAGCAATTCACCGTCACTTGCTCTGAGACTCAGGTTTCCTCCGGGCTGAGAGCAGCGTGGACTTTCGCCACCCGAAAGGTGTCTTCTCTCTTCTGAAACGCGTCGGCCCACAAGGCGTGCGCTGTGCCTCAGAGTCTCCTTGTCACCACTGAGTCAAAGTGTGTGAAAGCTCTACGGAAAGCTGCTTCGCCGCCTGGCCCGGCTCGCCAGGCTCACGCGTTGTGGTTGCCGCACTGTCCCTGACTACAGTTGGTTTCGCTTTAACCTTACGCTCCATCTTAAGCTCAAAAGTCTTACTTAAGAGAAAAATTAAAGAAAAAATGAGAAACAGGGATAGATTCTGCCAGTTAGCTCTGTTTCCCTGTAGGGCTGAGTCACGCGCACCCAGGATGTCAGCTCAAAATGCAGAGAGCACGACCGTTGGCTTCCCGGGTGCAAAGTGACGGAAGGCGCTGTACAGCTGGACCTGCCCAGGAGGAGTCAGGTCAAATGGGGTTGGGTAAGTGGCAAGCACAGAAGTGAGAAGGGGAGCAGGTCCTGGTGGTAGCAGATTAGCTTTTATGGAAGACACCAGAAGCCTATCCGCACCAGAGGTAGGCCCGGGTGTCCACCCGCCTCCATGGCCCCAGCAAGACCAAGTGCACCGTGGCCACCTCTTTCCTTACACCTGGGGGGTGAGCCCCTCTGATCACCTGCCACCTCCTAGACAGTCACTCAGGGTGATGTCTCCTGACCCAACCTTGGGAAATTTCCCTCACAGACTCTTCCTTCACCCTCTGGAATTCCTGCTCCACAACCCGCAAGCCCCATATCCCCCAGCTTCTCTCCAAGTCTCCTTGTAGCATCAGCCTGGCTGAGAACATGAGCCCCGCAGACCTCCCGGGCGATGCGTCTACCCTCTCACACCCCACACCTCAGCGCTGGAAGGCAGAGCAGCGTCCCCTGTATGATGAATTTCTCTTATTGGTCTTTGTTCTTCTAACCTCTTTTTTAAAGAATTGAAAAAAAGAAATAAAATAGCCCCATTTCCTTAGAGCTCGTACCACTGAGATGCACCTTTTCACTGTCCTCATGCAATGACCTCCCACCCTCTGCTCTGACGACCTTGGCCTGCTCCGGGCCTTCCTCTCCCTTGGAGCACCTCCCGCACCCCTGTGTGACTTCAGCACCCAGGCTCCCAGCCCGTCCCATTGTCTCACGCTCGGGCCTCCAGCAGCATCCTTCTCAATCCAGCGGGAGATACCTTCCCCCGGACACAGCCTCAACCTTGACGTTGCCTGAGCCGTATCAGCTCTAGAACCACACAGGCTCTCCAGGTTTGAGGGGAAATGCCAAAGGTCAGTTTGGTACATGTAAAATTTGAGAGGCGGATTTAACGACTAAGAGATATCAGGTAGGTGTTAGGCTGTGAACGGGAGACGTTCCCAGGGCAGAAGAGTGGTCCTGGCTGGGAACATAAATTTGGAAGTCGGTGCATTTAGATGGCATTCAAGGTTCAGAGGCTGGGTTGGATCACCATGTCCATGAGGGTAAATGAGAAGAGCACTGGAGCACTCCAAAGGTTTGGCAGTCAGAGAGATGAGGGGGAACCGGCCCGTGATCAGGATGGATAGTCAGTGGAGAGGGAGGAGAGCCAGGGGCTGACTGGCCAGATAAGATGAGGGTGGAGAACCGGTCACTGGCTTTGGTGAAGGAGATGGAGCACCTTGGCTAGAGCAGTCTCGGGGGATCAGGGTGGCGAAAGCCCGGTGGACAAGAGTCAAGAGAGAACTGAAGGGGAGACACAGTCTAGACATTTCTTTGGGGGTATAGCTGGGGACTGGCATTACGTGGGTCTCCTCTGCTCCAGGTTTGCCCACATTTCAACATCTCTGCCAAGCTCCTTCCAGGAGAAGTGCAACTTAGTGATTGAGAGCACAGGCCGAGAACTGGTGGGCCTAGGACCCAACTCCCAGCTGGTCTCTTACCAGCTGTGACTAAGGCAACTTTCTTAACCTTTCTGAGACTTTTTAAATGGGGATATTAATAGTACCTACTGGGGAGTATTGTACTTAATCCTTATAAAGATCAAATAAGGTAATAAACATGGAGTGTTGAGCTCTATAGCTATTACTGTTATCAGTATTATCTTTTCAAAAATGCAAAACTGATCATGCCAATGACTCTCTCTTCCCACTGCCCTCCATCCTTTGGGTCCTGATTTCATGTGCAGCCTATCTCCTTCACATTGTACACTCCGGAGATGCAGGCGAAGGCATTTGTAGGCCCCCCCAAGCCCTAGGGCAGAAAGCTAGAGCTGCTTTGCCTGTCGGGGCTTAACTCCAGGAGGCGCCATTGCCAAGGCCCTCCACTAGGGGGCGAGCCTGCTACAGCTCCGCTCCTCCGAGCTCTCGCAGACGGCGTCAATCTGTCCAGAATACTTTTTGATTGTGTGGTGTTTGCAATGTCAGGCGGCCTCTACCACGGATAGGCAAGAGTTAGCCTGGTGTTTATAGAAAAGGAAAGGAGGGAGACAGAGATGGAGAGATGGAGGCTGGAAAAAGGAGGGAAGGAGGGAGGGGGAAGAGGGGAGGAAGGAGGGGAGGAAGGAGGGAGGGAAGGGAGGAGGGAAGGAAGGGAAGGAAGGATGGATTACAGGGCAGTGAAAAGCTAGTAAAATTCCAGAACAAGTGGAAGAGGGAAACTGAGACAGGAAAGTTAAAACGAGGTGAAACAATGTGGGCAATTTGAAGCCAGCTTGCAAATAATAAGCCATTGTCTTCTCCAGCCAAGAACACTTGAGAGCAAATGGTTAAAAGCCTCCTTAAGACAGAATTCAGGAAAGGAGGGGGGAAGGGGAAAGGAAAAAAGGGGCTTTACTCCCTAAGCGGAAAAGCCAGCAGTCTCAAGGCTTGACAAGATAAAACTGCCAGGTGCTTCTCTTGAATTCTGGGAAGGCCACAACAAAGTAAAAAAGGACCTTGGGATGTAATCTGTACCAAAACATTCAGCAGAGGACGTTTGAAACCTCTGATAGGAGAGTATATAACACCTCAGAACCCCACCCAACTCGCTCTCCAGGTTAGCTGAGAGC